GGCCAGCGGAACTGTGTCTGAGGCAGTCAGAGAACACTCAAACACAGCGCCGGGCAGAGTGATACAGAGATGGCACAGGTGGCAGCGGAAACCGGGGGCGGCAGAGCACTTCCTGAGAATTGCTCCAGGCCGGAAACGCGGCGGGAGAACGGGGTGGGAACGCTGAGAGACAGCGTAGAGAGACGGCGTAGAGAGAGAGAGAGAGAGAGAGAGAGAGAGAGAGAGAGAGAGAGAGAGAGAGAGAGAGAGAGATAGAGAGAGAGAGAGAGAGAGAGAGAGAGAGAGAGAGAGAGAGAGAGAGAGAGAGAGAGAGAGAGAGAGAGAGAGAGAGAGAGAGAGAGAGAGAGAGAGAGAGAGAGAGAGAGAGAGAGAGAGAGAGAGAGAGAGAGAGAGAGAGAGAGAGAGAGATGAGAGAGCAGTGTACAGGTCTCGCGAGATTAAGCGGTAGGTTTTGCACTTTTACATTTCCGGTTATATCTCAGAAACTAATCGATCTAAGATGAAGCCATTTTACACGATCATGGCCGGCTTGTTACCCAACAACTAACAAGTCGATCGCATCTTCAACACTTAAAAGCTTAAGACGACGAAGATATAGCGTGAAGTACACTAAATTTTCTAGGTGCAAAACCTACCGCTAAAACCCGCGAGCCCTGTACCTAATGTGATAATCAATTGCAAAGGCAAGAGAAAAGCAAAGAGTGAAAGCGAAAAAGACAGACGCCACTTGTAATGAAAGAAGAGCGAGCCGCCTCAGTACCACCGGCCGAGATAGACAAGGCCAATACCATCCTGTCGCCTTGTTAGAGACGGGGTGGAGCTCCTGTCTGACAGACACGGTCATCACACCTCGTTCCTCTCCCCACCCTGCCCCATACCCGGCCGTCTCCTCCCACACCCAGCTGTCAATTACGGCGAGGTCGGTCATCAGGCCCCGAGAGGTCAAACAGGGTCGCCCCGGCCGCCGCTGCCGCCGCCGCCGGGCCGCCGGCCTTCCATCAGTCCCTGTTTTCGGTGGACCTTTCCACCGCCCGTCCGGCCACGTGGAAAACATATAGATCACCCAGTGTCGCGGCCAGGCCGACAAAGGAGAAAAGGATCGGTCGGGAACCGGCAAAGAGGGATGGGTGATAGGAAGATGTGATTTCTGGTTTGAAAGTCACTTTTGGTATGAAGCTTAGTCCTGGCAGTGTGGAAGTCGCATACTTGTCGCCTTTACGAATTTCTTAAAATTTATTTAAAAACAAAAAACAAATATGACACACTTTATCAAGCATTCCACACGCCAATATGGTATCCACATACCACTTCGAGTCAGTTTATCAGATGAAGGCAAGAGCAATCTTGCGCCAATCTTCATCACCTTCGAAATTCTCAGCAGTTAGGCACTACGACAGCAATTTTAGAAAATTTAGATTGCTAATATATTTTGTTGACCAATTGGCGTTACGAAGTAGTCGTGTCCTTTTACTTATCAGGTACATGTAGGTTCAACTGCAGTTTACATTGCTAACTATTGCTGCATTCTGTGATAAGCTGCAACTCATTCATTTATATCGTGTCGTGTCATCTTCCCTTTCAAAGGTTCCCGTTGCCTTTGCTGTTCAATGTCCCCCGGACCCATTTATCTGAGATGGTCTGCCCGGTTTGCAGTTTCTGTAATCCCTCTGATACATTGGGGCACATTGTCGGAATACCCGGCGGCTGGCAGGCTGTGTTATTGCCGCTGGGATGCAGTCAGAGTGCCTGCCGGGGAGTGCTCTCGGCACCGCCGGCTGGGCCTGTCTGACCGGGCAATGTCGAGCTGTAGACCGGGCCGGGCCAATGCATACCAACTGCAGTTCAGGCTCACTGCGCTGTCTGGGATGACGTATTGTGTGTATTAATCACCAAGAAATGTTCGATACTTTGAGTCGGTTCCGCCATCGCTCAACAGATGGCAGCAGGGAATGTACGTGAACAGATCACAAAATGGCCTGTTATAACGCAACAGGGACTATACCGGGTGTCCCAAAAGTAAGGTCATCATTTGTTTTGGCCACACTGCCAAAAATACGCGATGGATAGATATAAATAGGACATCATATGAAAGAGCATTTTATAAAATTTTATTCTGACATACATATGAGTCAATACATTGGCTCGTAGCCCCACATTTGCTGCTTTTCTACATGGCTGCCATTTCGGGCCGCGTGCATGAATAGACTACGTTTGACTTCCTCCACTATTCTGGAGCGATTCTCTGGTGAGATGCCGCCTATGTTTGCTCGAAGGGATCATCCTTTAGTTCTTCCCGGCTCGTTGGGTTGTCCTAAAAGACAATCTTTCTGTTGTGTATCCAGAGAATAAAAATATGAAGGTGTAACGTCAGGTGACCGCGGAGGCCATTCAATGGCGTTGCCCTGACTGAAAATTACGGGATCTCACATCCACTCTCGGAGACAATGCATGATCTTCAGGACGGTGCAAGCATAGTCTCCATCCTGCTGAAACCACTGCTGGCTGATGGTGTCGGCACAGCTGCGTTGCGACGAGCGGAAGAACCACTGGGAGGACTCTCGGCCACCTCTCTTGATTTATTGTCACCCGATTCCCGCTGTCGTCCTCAGGACCTCGAAGCACAGGTGGCTAAGTATACATGCCCTGTGCGTACATTTTACCTTTTTTCTGACGTTTTACCGGTTGAGGCGAAACTATGCATGAGTTCAGAGATAGGGCGAGCTGATAGGGTCTGCTTAGGGCCGAAAACTGGGCGGCATTTACCCTTTGTTTTAATGACGGGCCCTCTCTAAGAGTTGAATTTCGACCTTCTCAGTTTTATGCCTACTGCTCGGTGTAGTTATGATCAAAAATGGTTTAAGCATGCAAGAAAATAATTTTATGGATGTACCTTGCACGTGTTAAAATTGGAAGTGATTCGGACTCTTACTTCTCGAGATATTTAAGTTTTAAATCATGACCTTACTTTTGGGACACCCGGTAGGCCAAACCCATTGAGGACGCTGCCCTCTAATAGGAAACGTTGGCAAATATAATCATCAGAAGTTTACCTTTCTGACACATGGTAACCAAAGATGGTTTCAAATAAATGTAGGTAACACTTCTTCTATGATGAGTACGAGCGAAATTACATCAGTTGTCGATCGCAAGACCAAAAACACTCTTGGTTAACTTATTTGCCGATGCATTTACAGTTTTTATATTTTTCAGGCAGCTTTAGTATCTGCGACCAAACTAGCGTGTCCAAACTGAAATCAGCTGATTCGCGGCCGGACGGACATCCTACGACGCTGGCCACCCCCTCCCTGCTTCCGCCCCCCCCCCCCGATCTGGCGGTGTGCCAACTCCGCGGCAGCCGGGTGGACAGCTGCCCCGCCCACACGGGGTCGCCCCCCCCGCGGAGGGGAGGGAGTGGGGGTCACGCCACATGGTCAGCAGAAATGGTGTCAGGAGTGCCAGCTCAGTGGAGGAGGTCCGAGCTTCTCTTGGTGTCCGAGTTCAGACTGGTGACAGTGACAGCCGCCGGTGACACTGACAATGACAATTGACAGCGGTGACAGACGGTCTGTCTGTCTGTCTGTCTGTCTGTCTGTCTGTCTGTCTGTCTGTCTGTCTGTCTGTCTGTCTGTCTGTCTGTCTGTCTGTCTGTCTGTCTGTCTGTTGTCTGTCTGTCTGTCTGTCTGTCTGTCTGTCTGTCTGTCTGTCTGTATGTATGTATGTCTGTCTATTTTTTTTCTATCTCTCTCTCTTTCTCTCTCCCCCCTCTCTCTCTCTCTATCTATCTATCTATCTCTCTTTTTCTCTTTCTGTTTCTCCATTTTTGTAGCAAAAGTTTGGCCACGGGGGAGGCGGGCGCTCTGGAGTCAGAGGAAGAGCCGGAGACTGTGGGACCGTACGATAAATTTGGCGGAGGTGACGGCACTGAGAATTAAGGGTCGGTCAGGGACGTCGCAACCACCAGCTACTGCTCTTATCTCCCCCTGTAAAGTGGATTTATATTCGCTGGCAGACGGTCAGACAGCAGAGGATTCACTGCCAGTATGTGTATTATTGGGTGTCAGGTATGTAGGTACACCAGACAACAAGCAGTGTATGTCGCTACTGCAATGCTTAGGGACATAAGCATAACTAAAGGGGCGCTTTTTACTGTAGGATTAGTTGATGATTGTAATTTTGCTGATGTTTATTAATATTTTTTACTATTCGCCTGATAAATGAGAAGATAAGAACGGGTCAGATAACTCATGACAGTCCCCATGAATAGTTTGGATTCAGAAGGCTGTTATGAGTAGGCACGCTATTGCAACAGTAATGCTGTTCTCTTCAGCGAACGTATTGCAAGGTAATAAGAAAGCTCTGATGTTACCCTAAATTACCATCATTTCTGGTTTCCTTAATGCCGGCAATATCATCATTTACTCGTGTTAATGCTAGTGCTACCATTACTTTTCTGGTTCCAATAGCCCGTAGCGCAGAGCTGCTCTGTAAGTATCATTTTCGGTAGTTTGTTGCCGCCATTTTCTACCCCGTAACTAAGCAGCAACTAATGACTAGAAACATTGTCCCGTTCGAGTTTTCTTGTGTGTATCATATGCCTACTGGTGTTGCTCGGATGATTGCGCCAGTTGCAGCTCAGCGTTATCAACCAGCGTAGGCAAGTCTCTCCAGAGTCGAAGCAGGTGCAATGTATCTAATTGTAATTATGCATAAAAGCGTTTTCTGGCAGATTGGAATTGCACTATACCGTTGATTTACTAGCAGTCGCCTCGGGGTAATTAAAGCATGATGAAAATATTTGCTCTCATAATATGTATAAAATATAATACCTCGCACAACATGCATTAAGTTGTTTTTCTTCAAATGCAGATCAAAAGAACCATATATCCAGGGAATACACATTAGTTATCTCGTGCAGTTATGGCAGCCTTCTTCAGTTTCTTCTCAGAAGGAAAGCACAGTTGTAATTAATAATTTATCTCTCTCAACTGTCTCCTTTACAGAGTTCTGAGCGGCGAGGAGAGGCCTCATCACGCTGCGCTCCGCGGTGGCCGCGCGCTGGCTCCTGTGACGTCACTGGTTTGCGACCGCTGACGTCACTGGTCCGGCGGTGACGTCATGTCCAGCCGGATGGGGAACCGGCCCACCAGCTCTGAGAAGGCGGCGCTGCCCCGGCTGCCGACCGCCGCCGGCACTCACCACCGACCGGTAAGGCACCCGCCACCGACCAGCAGTAAGGCACTCTCATGACCAAGAAAGAATTAGTGGTACGAGCACGAGTCTCATGTGCACAACGTTCGAGAGGGCATTTCAATCGATAGTCTTATTATCCCACTAATCAAGTATTTGTTCTTAAGATGGTACAACGACTACACCCGGTAAAAGCCTTCAGAAAATGAATTGGTGTCGTAAAAGCACACCAATTACATAGTTTTCAATAGATGGCAACAGGCAACATTGCCTGATGAATGGCAGTTGCAAAAAAAGTAATATTATCAGTATAAATAAAGGAACGCTTTTGTTCCATAACAAAATCCAATGCTCGTTAGAATTGTGTTTTTCTATGGAAAAAAAACATACCGGAGTTGTTGAAAATTTTACGAAAGACCCTGTGCTTAGAACAAACACTGTGTCTTGAACAACTGCGATAAATACTATATTGTCTTTCGTTCGAAATTAAATGGTTCTGTTTCCTCGCTATACAGGGTGGACCAAAAAGGATGGAAACATTTTGAACTCGCATAAAATATGTGTTATTGCATGCAGGTGACTGAAAATGATACCAAACGAGAGAACATTTCGTGGAAATTCATAATGACATCTCTCTCATCTGCTTTCTATCGTTTTCAATCTCTCACAGCAAATGTTCGAAGAGGCCACCTTTGCGAGACAGGCAAAGAGCGTCAGCCTGCCGGCTGACGCGATAGCCCGATGACACATGTCCTCTGGTATGACTCGCACAGTTTTGGTGATCGCTCTCTTCAGTTCACAGAGGCCTACATAACCTTCCTTGTAGACCTGGCCCTTGAAATGACTCCACAGGAAAGGAATCCATAGGTCAGATGAGAAGACAGACAGACCAGTTCCACTTCGGTTCGAGGATGGGAGCGACAACACCGTGGCTGACGACCAAAAGCGCTACCAAGCGACGCTAAAGAAGTTGTTGAAGTGAGCCCAAACGAAGTATGGCAGTCTCATGGACCTCATGTGATTCCAGCCAGGCGGTGCGCCTCATCACATCGCGAAACAACGCTCAAGTGGAGCGAGAACTACTTTGGTGACCGGCTGATATCCCGCAGTGCGTGTCGGAACTGGCCTGTCTGATCACCTGACCTGACCCCGATGGATTTTTTCCTGTGTGGTCATCTCAAGGCCAGGTCTACAAGGAAGGTTCTAAAGGCATCTGTTACCTGAAGACAGTGATCACCAAGGCTGTGCGAGCCAAACCAGCGGACATGTGTCATCGGGCTATCGCGTCAGCAGCCAGGCGGGCCGCTCTTAGCCTGTCTCGCAAAAGTGGCCTCTTCGAACATTTGCTGTGGGAGAATGAAAACGAGAGAAAGCAGATGAGAGAGATGTCATTATGAATTTCCACGAAATGTACTCTCGTTTGGTATCATTTTCAGTCACCTGCATGCAATAACACATATTTTATGCGAGTTCAAAATGTTTCCATCCTTTTTGGTCCACCCTGTACAAATCGGTACGATATACGGTATTTGCATACAAATCATTTTCAACGGTAGGCATTCGTTGAAACCGTATTGTTTATAGGCAGTTACAGCTTGTCTTACTATATATCACCAGTGATAAGTTTCCCTAGCGTGGCTCTCTACACAATATCTCGAAATGATACTATTTCTGATATTTTCTATAGATATTTCACCTGAATCATCGGTTATGGCATGCCTCACTGAGATGTAATGGGTCTTGGAAATATTTTGAGCTACTTACATTCAATTCAGAATAAAACTACGCATATAGCGGTTGCTGTTTTCACATTTTCCGCTCTAGCTCGTTGTTTGTCAAAAACATAGGAGGCTGCTGTTGAGAGGGTGGAATCGATGCTGGCGACTGGCACGGCTCAGCCAGCAGCAGACTGGTGTTTTTCGTCAGGAAGGTCGAGTCTCGTGCGGGCCGACCATAAACAGCATGTCAACAGGACTCTCCCCCTCCACCCCCACCCCCACGGAACGGACCGAGAGGGTCTGACAAATGGTTTTGTGATTTGTTTGTTATTGCGAATTGTTGTGATGTGTCAATGATTCGTTTTTTTTCGCAACATTTTCCAATTGTTACTTGCTATGAGTAATCAAGAAATTTCACAAAGTGGAATGCCATATCCCAAACTATATTGGACAAAATGCTAATGAAACTAACTTTGCTGCTGCATCCCCCGCCCTCTGCTGCTAGCACAATGCTACTTTTCGTCCGTCACGCCGGGCCGTTCTGGCCCGCCAGGCGGAGCTCCACAATCGATGGGCCTAATGCAGCGTTTGTCAGAGCCAAGGCCGCCCCGGGCCGGCCCCCGCCTGCAACACATCGGACCGTCCCGTCGGACACACAGGAGTGAATGGCAGTCCTCCAAAACACCCAGCCTGTCCTCTAAAACACCCAAACCATCCTCTGAAACACCCAGGTCTTCATCTAAAACACCTGGACTGTCCTCTAAAACACCCGATCCGTCCTCTGAAACACCCAGGTCATTATCTAAAGCACCTGGACTGTCCTCTAAAACACCCGGACCGTCCTAAGGAACAATCAGACTGTCCTCTGAAACACAATGGAGTCCTTCGAAGTTCGAAGCGCCCGGTCCATCTTCTATGCATAACACCCGGGACGTCCCTTATTGTTTCCGTTTGTTTTGATATGGGGCATTTCGGTGTCCCTTATAGCAGTCGCTCCTGAATATAAGATAAAAACTCACCGCTACCCGCGGTCCTCTGCAAGAGCACCTGCTGTCCTGTTGCCTCTCGAGTCCTTTGAACCGCGCTGTTCGTTTTGTCGCCCTCCACTGACCAATTCGGATTATTCCGGAGAATCAGTTCGGGTAACGACCTCTCGCGCTTCTCCGCCAGCGGACATGGATGCCCTGGGACACTCACCAAACTGGGGGAGCTGCCTCTGCTGTCAGTAGGGAGAGAGAGAGAGAGAGAGAGAGAGAGAGAGAGAGAGAGAGAGCGCAACACAACTCCGCTCAGCCTTATGATTGAATGCCGATGTTTTCGAAATGCTGGAGCGGAAAAGGATCGGTTGAAGTGACATGTTTTGATAGCTGGTGCATTCCACTTTGATGCTTTTGCTCTTTTTTTTTTTTTGCTTTAAATATTTATGACTTTATTCCAGAATAATACGCTTCGTAGCAAATAATATCCGATGTGTTTCTTTCTAGGTATATCTATGTACTTAAAAACATAAATGTGCCCCGTCTCGTCGAGCTTAAAAGCGTATTATTTATCGCTAGCTCACTAGTGATGTAACGCCATGTCACCAAGCCGCTATTTTCAGTCACTGCCCATTCGGCCAGTGGCACAGAAAAAAAGCCAATGGCTCTATACCTCACAGACTGCATGAACTATTTCAAGCAATTTCTTGCTGCATATGCTCCTTGATCATGACATTTTCTTCCCCTCAGAGTGCATTATAAGAAGCTCCAGCCACCCTTGCATTCGCTCCAGTTCATGAAACTCACACCACACCATATTTTTACGAGTACCTATTACTATTAGACCATTTTTGGACCTTATTTGATGCGCGTTATGCAGCCTTTGTACTGGAGGTTGGACACGTGACAAAAAAAAAATCAAATCTCTATTGAATGATTATTGATTAGCCCTCGCCGGCCGAGGGGGGGGGGGCGGGTGCCGCCCCCATAGGGTTTTTTTCGCGATAACTCCGAACACGCTGGCGAAAGAGAGCTGAAACTTGGCATACCTGACCTTTGATTGCAGCCAGATCTTTTGACACCAACCGCATTTTCGGGTCAGGTCAGGTCACTGACCTATGACGTCATAAGTGAGCCTCTGCACGGTCTTCAGATGTCGCAACTTCGCAACACCCTCACTGCCAGAGGAGATGTCACAGGGAAATGAAACTTGCAGGATCTAATATCCATTACGAGTATCACAACTTGTATGTCTCGGATTTTTTCTAAAGATCATATGAGCTTAGGTCATTTTCGTGACCTCACCATTAGGTATAAGTCAATCGGGAAAAATGAAAACTGTTATTCTGACGCCGGAAACGATCTCCAACTATCTCAAGCACACAGAATCGTGATTTGATGCACTCCTTGCAATGTTACATGCGTCACTTTTGTAATGTTGACCTTGCGTAACGTCATTTATGACGTCATTAGGGTCATATATTAGTTTTTCGTCAATAACTCACGATCAAATTGAGCTAGCGAGTCGGGAATGGACCAATGGAGTCAGGAAGACCTGCCAAATCGAATGACATGCAACATGACCTACCTCGACGACCAACTTCGTGACCTGGGGGCGCTGACCTGACCGTGGCCTGAGTTCAACGCCCTAACTTGACCTCTCGCAAACAAAAATTATATCATTCGAGGCGCCTGAGCGAGGCAAACACGATGCTGTCAAAATCTCGGCTTTGCGACCGTTTTTTTGTTTGCGAAGTTATTCACCAAAAACGGAACCGTACTTTGGGGCACTTGACCTGATTCCAGAGGTCACCGGTTGACCTAGGACCTTGAAATCGGGTAGCAATCTCTGCGTCTCGTAACGGCGCACACGCTCGTTTTTTCCGCGACGCGCTAGCTCCACCAGAGACGAAACGACGATGGGGGTCGTACCCCCCCCCCCCCCCCCTCCTCGGCCGGCGCTTATGTAGAAAACCAATAGGTTCGGCGAGAGTTAAACCATATCGAGAAAGAAATCAAAATTTTACACTACGATTATGTCAATCAATTTACTCAAATGCCATTAGAACCTGAGGATGGTTAATGATGTCACGTGGCATCGTTTCAGGAAGGAAGCAATATAATGTCGGACAATGAGCTGAAAGGTAACTGCATGTGTCTGTTTATAGCGTAGAGCCTAGAAACGATATTAGTCCTATAGTTGACTGAAAAAAGTTAGGCGAGGCAGCAACTCAATCATGTGCTTTTTAGAATTGTGCAATAAAACATGCATTACTGAAGATTTGTGTTCGCTTGTTTCTTTGCTTATACTCCGATTGCCCGTCCATTGTGTCCGCTGCGCTTTTAAAGGGACCCTCCCACCTTAACATTAGATTTGAGTTGAGATAGCCAAAATGGGGTCCCTGGCTCACAATTACCGGTTTCGGCACTCACAACATCGAGAAATGCCTTAAATCGGAAATATTGAATTTCAAAATTGCAGCATTTTGATTCAGAGGGGCTAATGCTTAGGAATACCCCTCTGAATGTGTGACGTCAGCGCAGATATCTAACGATTTTTAAATGTTTGACTAAAACGTTTTGTAGCACGCGGTGGTATATGCTATTTGCGCGCAACATCTGCCGCAAACGCCGCACTTCTAAAATAAAGTCGCTAGAAACAGCGGAGATCCCCAAAAAAGTAAACAAAAGTAAAAGTCTAATATCTTGAAAACCGGTGAATATTTTTCGGTGAAATTTGGTAGATATTCGTTTTCGCTCTTTCTGAACCGAGCGACATCACTTTCATGCCAATTCATAAACTTTTTTGAAGGTGGGAGGGTCCCTTTAACGTCCCATGTGACTGGCGTAGTGATGTTTGTGCTCAATGTTTTGTCCTTACAGTACACCATCTCGATTTGTTGGTTTGTCAGAATGTGCGAAAAGTAGTTTTTTTCTGCTCATTTGCATGAAATTGTCGTTACTTCAATCGTTCTGTTTTGGTTCCTCATTTCAATAATAGTTTCTACGTTTTAGAAAACGAATGAAACAAAGTGACGAAAAGCAAGTTGGGCTCATGCCTGAAGCCTCCGTGATCTAGACACTCTGTTGGCTGAGTAAAGGCCGATCGCCCACTGGTGGCAGTTCCTGCTCCTGGAACCACCCGCCACAGTGGGGTCACGACAGGAAAAAAACAAAGAAGAACAAAAAAAATTGTTGAGACCATGACCGATGGTCCGTCCCCTTCGCTGGCTCGTCTCTGACTGTCCTATATCCCGCGCTCCCCTCGTGCCTCCCGCCCCAGCCCGCCCGCTCCGCTTATCTCTCTCCCTCCCACCCTCCCTCCCTCTCTCTCGCTCTCTCCGGCATCTGTCTGCCCTCGCCCAACGCCTCTTAGCCGGGGGGCCGCTAAGTTGCCATTGGGCTCATGCCTGAAGCCTCCGTGATCTAGACACTCTGTTGGCTGAGTAAAGGCCGATCGCCCACTGGTGGCAGTTCCTGCTCCTGGAACCACCCGCCAAACCCCGCCAAACGGAGCGACCACGCAATAGGCCACGTAGCTAATTGTAAGCTCCTAAGAGCTTCCACAGCCACTCGTAGTGTTCCCTAGAGATCGGGACCGGAACCATCCGGAGCGGTCTGCCCCCAAGGGCAGGAACCCGAGAGCTGGTCCAGCCCACTGTAAGCTCCCAAGAGCGCACAGCCACTCGCCATGCTCCCTTGAGCTCGCGACGGGAAAACCCCCGTAGCAGTCTGCCCCCGGGGCAAGGAACTCCCAAAAGCTTAACCAGCCAACTGCAAGTTCCCAATTGAGCCCCCACGGCCACCTATCATACTCCCTTGAGCTGCGCCAGGAAACGCCCGTAGCGGTCTGCCCCGAGGGCATTAAGCTCCCAAGAGCTCGCGCAGTCAAGTGGAGAGCTCCCGAGAGCTGCCACGGCCACCCGTCATGTTCCCTAGAGCTCGCGCAGGGGAAAACACCCGAAGCGGCCTGTCCTTAAAGGCAGAAAGCTCCCGAGAGCTTGTTTAGCCAACTTTAAGCTCCTAAGAGCTCTCGCAAATCGCAGCCATCCGTGATGCTCTCTTGCGTTCCCTAGAGCTCGTGGCATGAAACATACGTAGCGGTCTGCCCCCAGGGCAAGATGCTCTCAAGAGCTCGGAGCTCGCATAGCCAACTGTAAGCTCCCAAAAGCTCTCGTCAGCAACCTTAGAGCAATAAGCTCCCGAGAGCTCGCACGGTTACCCGTCATGCTCAAAAGAGCTCCCGCTGTGAACACTCTTAGCGGTCTGCCCCCAACGGCAAGAGGCTCCTAAGAGCTCGCACAGCCAACTGTAAGCTCCCAGGAGCTCTCGACACGAACCCCGTAGAGGCTTCCCCCGAGGGCAATAAGCTCCCAAGAGCTCGCACGGCCATCCGTCGGCTCCCAAGAGCTCACGACAGTAACACCCGTATCCGTCTGCTCCCAAGGACAATAAGCTCCCGCCGGCTCGAGCAGTCGCTTGTGCTCCTAAAGCTTCCAACAGTAGCGCCTATGCGGTCTGCCCCCAAGAGCAATAGCTCTGAAGAGTTTGCGCAGCCACCCGTCCGGCTCCAACGAGCTCTAGACATTGGCACCCATAGCGGTCTGCCCCCAAGGGCAAGAAGCTCTCGCGAGCTCGCGCAGCCAGCCTTCAGGCTCCCAAAAGCTCTCTACAGTAGCACCCATAGCGGTCTGCCCCCAAGGGCAATGAGCTCCCGAGAGCTCGCACAGTAACCCGTCATGCTTCCTGGAGGTCGCGACAGAAAACTATCGTAGCTGCTAGCCCCCAGGGCAAGAAGCTCCAAATAGCTCGCCCGGCCACCGGTCAGGCTCCCAAGAACTCTCGACAACAGTGGCCTTGGCGGTCTGCACCAAGGGCAGTAGTACCCAATAGCTCGCGCAGCTCCCTTCGTCAGGCTCCCAGGAGCTCTCAACTTCAGCGCCCAAAACGGTATGTCCCAGGGCAAGAGCACCCAAAGCTCGCACAGCCACCTGACATGCCCCCAGAGCTCTCGACAGTAGAGTCACTAACGGTGTGCCCCCAAGGGCTATAAGCTCCCAAGAGCTCGCACCGCCAACTATGATCTCCCAAGAGCTCGCACGGCCACCCGTCATGCTCCCAAGAGCTCTGGACAGTAGCGCACATGCAGCCTGCCCTCGCACCGTCAACTATGATCTTCCAAGAGCTCGAAAGCCCCCGTCATTCTCCCCCAGGCTCCCGACAGTAGCACCCACGCGGTCTGCCCCCAAGGGCAATAAGTTCCCCAGAGCTTGCACAGCCCCAACGCCCGCACCGGTCAGATGACCGTATAGGTCGCCGGCAGATACAGATAGTCGGACGGGTCGCTCTGGCGCGTCCACACATCCGGAGCTCACACCCGCCGCGGCCCGCGGCCCGGTTGTGAAACGAAAGAATTGCTGGCACGCAGCCCGCCGAAAAAGGCAGCGCGTTACGCCCTCCTCGTCGATCCAGTGCCGGTCCCCGCACCGCCGCGACACGTGCGAACCGTCGCACACTGCCCGCAGATGGCCGAGCCGTTCGCGCCTACCCCCCCCCCCTGCGAGTGACGACGGAGGGGGGTGGCGAGCGCCCCTGTGTGTGCCGCCGCGCCACTCGAGCCGGCCAAGCGCCCGCCCTGTCACCGCGCCCTCCCCCTCCCCCACCAGGGATGGGGGGCGCGCAGCTGGGTGGACGCCGCCCCGCGGCGCATCCTCCAATCCAGTAATTAGACCGGGACCCGCGCGTTGGCCGCGCGGTGGACCTTCGGCCCATATCGCGTGCCCCTCCCCGCGCCGGGCGGTTGCGGCGCAGCGGGCGCGCACACGCGGCGGGCAGAGAGAACAGGGCGAACAGGAAACATCGGGTAAGATAACCGGACCTCTTACTCCCGCCCAAGGCGAAAAGCACACAGATCTGGGAAGAGAACCGGGCCGCTCCCGGCTACCAAGTACGGCCTTGGGTGTCGCTCCTTGAGGGTCAGGCGCGGCGGCGTCCGGCGAGCGCCAGGGGGCTCCCGACAGTGCTGCACCCAGTAGCTGCGCCTAAGGGCAATAAGCTTCCAAGAGCTCGTAGGGCTGCCGTCGGTCCCACAGGCAAAGCTCCCAAGAGCTCGTACAGCTTCGGTCGCCCCAAGGGCAATAAGCTCCCAAAAGCTCGTACAGCTACCGTCGCCCCAAAGGGGAGCAAGCTCGCTCCAAGGGCAATAAGCTCCCAAGAGCTCATACAGCCGTCGTCGCCACTAGGTGCAATAAGCTCCCAAGAGCTCGTACCGCCTCAGTCGCCCCCAAGGGCAATAGGGCTACCGTCAACCCCAAGGGCAGCAAGCGCTAAGCTACCAAGAACACGTACAGCCACCGTCGCCCCCAAGGGCAGAAAGCTCTCCCCCAAGGGCAATAAGCTCCCAAGAGCTCGTACAGCCATCGTCGCCCCAAGGCCAAAGTTCCCAAAAGCTTGCGCGGCCATCGTCACCCCAAGGGCAAAGCTCACATGAGCTCGTACAGCGACCGTCGCCCCCAAGGGCAGCAAGCTCGCTCCCAGGGCAATAAGCTCCCAAGAGCTCGAACGGCCGTCGTCGCCCTCAAAGGCAAGCTTCAAGAGCTCGGACGTGTGCTGAAGCCTTCGAGGGCAGGCATCAAGCTCGCCCCCAAGGGCAATAAGCTTCCAAGAGCTCATACAGTCATCCATCGTCGCCCCCAAGGGCAGTGAGCTCCTAAGAGCTCATACGGCTACTGTCGCCTTCGAGGGCAGCAAGCTCGCCCCTAAGAGCAAAAAGCTCCTAGCAGCCCGTACAGCCAACGTCGCCCCCAAGGGCAAGAACCTTCCAAGAGCTACCGTCGCCCCAGGGGCAGCAAGCTCGCCCCCAGGGGCGATGAGCTCCCAAGCGCTCGTGCAGCCATCGTCACCCCAAGGGCAATAAGCTCCCAAGAGCTCGTACAGCTACTGTCGCCTCAAGGGCAGAAAGCCCGCCTCCAAGGAAAAATAAGCTCCCAAGAGCTCGTACAGCCATCGTCGCCCCCAAGGGCAATAAGCACCCGAAGGCTCGTACGGTTACCGTCGCCCCCAAGGGCAATAAGCTCCCAAGAGCTTGTACAACCATCGTCGCCCCCAAGGGCAAAGCTCCCAAGAGCTTGTGTAGCCTCAGTCGCCCCCAAGGGCAACAAGCTCCCAAGAGCTTGTACAGCCATCGTCGCCCCCAAGGGCAATAAGCACCCAAGAGCTCGTACGGCTACCGTCGCCCCCCAGGGCAGCAAGCTCGTCGCCCCCAAGGGTATTAAGCACCCAAAGGCTTGTACGGTTACCGTCCCCCCAAGGGCAATAAGCTCCCAAGAGCTTGTACAACCATCGTCGCCTCAAGGGCAAAGCTCCCAAGAGCTTGTACAGCCTCAGTCGCCCCCAAAGGCAATAAGCTCCCAGGAGCTTGTACAGCCATCGTCGCCCCCAAGGGCAATAAGCTCCCAAGAGCTCGGACGGCTACCGTCGCCCCCAAGGGCAGCAAGCTCGCCCCAAGAGCAATAAGCTCCCAAGTCGCCCCCAAGGGCAATAAGCTCCCAAGTCGCCCCCAAGGGCAATAAGCTCCCAAGAGCTTGTACAGCCATCGTCGCCCCCAAGGGCAATAAGCTCCCAAGAGCTCGTACGGCTACCGTCGCTCCCAAGGGCAGCAAGCTCGCCCCCAAGAGGAAGAAGCTCCCAAGAGCTCGTACAACCATCGTCGCCGCCAGGGCAAGGCTCCCAAGAGCCCGTGCAGCCTCAGTCGCCCCCACGAGCAAAGCTCCCGAGAGCTCGTACAGCCTCAGTCGCCCCCAAGGACAATAAGCTCCCAGGAGCTTGTACGGCCGTCGTCGCCCCCAAGGGCAATAAGCTCCCAAGAGCTCGTACAACCATCGTCGCCCCCAAGGGCAAAGCTCCCAAGAGCCCGTGCAGCCACAGTCGCCCCCAAGGGCAATAAGCTCCCCAAGAGCTTGTACAGCCATCGTCGCCCCCACGGGCAATAAGCTCCCAAGAGCCCGTGCAGCCTCAGTCGCCCCCAAGGGCAATAAGCTCCTCAAGAGCTTGTACAGCCATCGTCGCCCCAAAGACAATTAACTCCCAAGGGCTGTAACAGCTACCTTCGCCCCCAAGGGGCAGCAAGCTCGCCCCCAAGGGCAATAAGCTCGAGAGCTAGGACAGCTACTGTCGCCTTCAAGGGCAGGAAACTCCCAAGAGCTCCCACGGCCGCCCGTCAGACCCGCGATAGTGGCGCCCGTAGCGGTCTGCCACCCCCCCCCCCCCCCCCCGGTCATCCCGCGGCGCTTGCCCGGTCGCCACCGGCGCTCTGCTCCTTCAGCGCACCCTGCCGAAGCTTGTCTAAGCTCGTTCTTATCAACCAGGAAGCAGGGATAGAAGAAATAGCGTTTCTCGTCCCCCGAGCAAGTGATTGTTCAAGCTGTCCAAGCCAGTGTAACCTTCGTTCAACCGTCTCCCGAAATGAACATTAGACAAAACGGAATTCCGAAGGTCCAATCCCAGATGACACCACTAATCGGTCCGCGGCGTCGCATTGCATTCTGCCAACAACCAGCGACCCGCACCACTCGGTCAAACTGACCCTCGACCGCTCACGCGGCTGCTCCTCACCCGGCAAAGGCGGTCAAGCCAGCACGTCAGAGCCCGCGTGGTCCGGAACAGCGACAGCCGATAGGTATCCGTGGTGTGCCTGCGAACCGACGGCGCGCCGCTGCGCGCGCTTTAGGTCTGTAAAAACTCAATAAGACATCATCTGGGACCACCACGATCACCCCGTTCCGGAAGGGTCACTGCCCCCTCGACTCTCCCTCAAACACCATGTTCCTTTCTCCTTGGCCCTGTCCCACTGCCCGTCCCATGACTCCAGCGGACAGTCACCCATGCCCCAGCTGTGAGCCATGCGGCCGGGCGCCGCCATACGACACCGTGACCGATAAGGCCGGGCTGTTTACTTTATTGGGTCTCCGCTGCCCGGTCCGCCGCGCCGCGGCGCCGGCGGGCCCGTGGACCGCGCGGACAAAGGGAGGGCCATCCCCGTTTTTGAGCGGTATTTCACTCGATGCTGCTACCACGCTGCTATCGCATTTTGCGAGCTGAAGTCACACATGTGACGACATTTTGGCAGGGTTGGAGATACGGATGTACGGATGTCATGGAAACCCAATTAGCACGTGTGATAGCGCACGCTGGCAGCGGCCGTAAACAGGGCCCTGGCCCGGCGCCTAGATCTGGCTGCGTGCGGCGTGCTTCGATGACGTCACCCACCCGGCTCCGCTCGCTCAGCCGGAGCGCAGGGGTTAAGCGCCGCTGCACCGTTGCAGCGCGCAGCGATACCAGGGTGCAGGTGGTCACGGGCCAACCTGATATCAGCCCTGAAACTGTCACCCGAGGTCACCAAGTCACTGACCGCGTTCGCCCCCAAGGGTACCGCACCGCACCCACCAGCCCCCAAAGGCTTCAAAGACCAACCAGCAGGCCCCTCAGCCGCTGCCACACTCCATAAGCACAGGGACGTCTGACCCCGTCCCGCTCCCCCGCCGCAGTCGGCAGTCGCGCTGGCAACCAGTCACCGAACTGTGACAACAGGAGACAAGAACAGAACAGAAGGCAAGCGCTAACCCACAGTCTGGGTCCTCACGGAGCGCTCCCACGACCACAGCTGCCGCGGTGGCGCGCTTCAAGCGTCCAAAAGCTCTTGACGAAGCAACGAAAAAAAACGTCCACGACCGTCTCTCCCAAGCCGATATTGCCAGCCTATTCGATTTGTAGCACGAGATGTCGGACAACACCATCCAGATTAGACAGCGCGTGACTCCGCAATAACGCAAGTCGCGCGAATTCTGTTTACCCGCTGATTATACATCGACATCTGACAGCCATGACAATAAGCTCCCAAGAGCTGGAAAGTGGCGCCTTCGCGGTCTGCCCACAAAAGCATCCCTGCTCTCGAGGGCGCAGGTTACTGCGCCCATCAAGCTGTCGCGGCACCCGGCCAGTTACACAACAGCGAACTCGGCCCTTCGCTTACCTGTAGTCAGTGGCATCTACTGACAAACCTCGCGTCATGAGTCGTCACAGGCGGTTGGTTCTCTGCCTCCCAGCTCCTGCGCTGCGCTGAATCGCAAGGCACCGCCCTTCTGAGTACCATGCCACCACTCCCTCTTTCGCCGTCACTATTCATAGCCTCTCTGTCACTCCGAGTGTCACACAACGAGAGAAGCCAAAAAATTGTTGAGACCATGACCGATGGTCCGTCCCCTTCGCTGGCTCGTCTCTGACTGTCCTATATCCCGCGCTCCCCTCGTGCCTCCCGCCCCAGCCCGCCCGCTCCGCTTATCTCTCTCCCTCCCACCCTCCCTCCCTCTCTCTCGCTCTCTCCGGCATCTGTCTGCCCTCGCCCAACGCCTCTTAGCCGGGGGGCCGCTAAGTTGCCATTTGCAGTATATTTACGATTGCCAACCGTATTCATTCTCATAGTTTACAGTTCCAAACTACTATTGCACATTGCACACATCAGTCCTGACTTTATCATGTAGATACAAAATGGTCAGACATTTAACGCTATTTCCGTCCTTGACATTTACAATTTACTCAAGCTAAAATAATAATAATTAGTGGCTTTCGAACTATCAGTAGTCAGTACCTCAATTGTAACCGAGATCGGCCACCACTCCCCCGCTTCGACATCCCCCCTCCCCCACCCCCACGGTTCCGCCGTGAGTCGTGACCCCCTGTTCTGCCGTGACCCTCTGTCCGCCGTGACCCCCTCCCTATACCGCCGTGACTCCCCTCCCCCTCTTCCGCTGTGACCCCCTATCCCCGTGACCCCCTCCCTGTACTACCGTGAACCCTATCCCTCGTGACCGCTCCCTATACCGCCGTGGACCCCCTATCCCCGTGACCCCCTCCCTGTACTGCCGTGACCCCCTCCCCCTCTTCCGCCGTAACCCCTGTCCTCCGCAACCCCCTATTCCGGCCGTGACCCGCTGTCCGCCGAGTTCCCTGTCCTCCGTGCCCCCTCCCCCTCCCCTCCCTCTGTCCCGTCGTGACCCGCTCCCCGCCGTCCGGCCAGAGCTGAAGATGGTGTTCCGTCTGACCCACTGTGCGCCGTCCGGCCAGAGCTGAAGATGGTGTTCCGTCTGACCCACTGTGCGCCGTCCGGCCAGAGCTGAAGATGGTGTTCCGTCTGACGGACCGCAACAAGGACGGCAACATCACGGCCGAGGAGCTGAAGCGCATGCTGCTCGATAAGCTGGACATCCAGGTGGACGACTCGCTCATCGGAGAGCTGATGACGTCAGCAGGTGAAAACGGTACGTCACTGGTCCCAACTGACCACGGAAAGATTCAAGGTGTCAGAGGTCTTTCCAAATCGTAATTTTTATGTTAAATTCTGAATATTTTGCAGGCATGCATCGACTTAGCTATTACAATTGTCCGTTACAGTTAAACATGGAAGCACAGATGGCAAGCAATGCTATGCACTGATGCCCAAATATACCTACTATTCGTAAACTTCAATTCGTGCACACGTTAAAGCTTTTGTCACCGTTTGATTGCCACCACAGGCCTCTAAAGTTTGTTCAAAAATAAGACACTCTCCCGGCCCGACCATCGCGCCCTGTGTCGGCAGATGGAGGACTCATCAGCGAGGGTCAGTTCATCTCCTGGTTCCTCAAGATGCAGAGCCTCTCCGCCGACAAGGCGCCCGACCATGTGACCAGCGACTTGTTCTCGGCATTTCGACTGTTTGACAGGGACGGCAACGGCTACATCACACTGGTCAGTATTACGTCATGCACCAGGTACAACTTAACAGCGAATGATTTTCATCTTTATAGGTATATAATTACATTAAATGTAGCCAAAATTTCTACTGAATCTCTATGCCAAATGTCACATGATAGCCTTTTAGACGAAACGTTTGATCATCGGGAGTCCGAATCACTTTTTGCTGTTGGAAGATACTGCATCTTTTCTCTGCCGATCAGCTCTCCACCCCTCCCTCTCCCTCTCTCCGTTCTTTTCGTCCCACCAGGACGAGTTGAGGAGAGCCATGGACCTCATCGAGGAGCGAATGACAGAGGCAGAGCTGAACGCCCTCATACAGATGGCGGACGCAGACAAAGACGGCAGAATCAACTACGAAGGTAGGGGAAATACACCACAGGAAATACACTACAGAGCTGAACGCCCTAATACAGATGGCGGACGCCGACAAAAACGGCAGAATCAACTACGAAGGTAGGGAAAGTACACCACAGGAAATACACTACAAAGCTGAACGTCCTCGTAGTGATTGGCAGACGCAGACAAGGACGGCAGAATCGGCTACGAAGGTAGGGGAAATACACTACAAAGCAGTCTTCATACAAATAATCACAGGAAAGGGAGATAGAAGCAACTATAAAGGTAATAAAAATACACTACCCAGAGCTGAGGAAAGCAAAGCATTAATCCTATGCCCAAAAATGTGTCATTGCTAATTCACAATGATAATTTAAGTCAAAATAAAGAATAGCAGATGGCTTATAGATTGGATGATGGCAATGAACGAGCCAGCTGTGTCTTGTTGTTACTTGTTAGACCTTCACACACCTCCCCAGCGTTCTGCGTTAGTGTATTACGTTCCCTACAGCCAGTTCGTGCGCTGCGGCACAGCCTAGCTTCAGGCGCAGACGCATACTGCCATCTAGCGGCGGATATATAAGCTGACAGTCTGCCGACGTGGCGCGACACACTGGATCGCGGATCTTACTGAGATCTAGACTAGTGACGGAAACATACCCGGAGGGATAACGGTGTCATGTCACCTGCTTAGGTCATCTCAATGTGTGTCGCCTGCACGCGAATTTTCTCCCCCATGCATGCCTTGCTACCCTCAGTACCCAGCAAGAGCAATGTTCTTGTCGAGCATTTGACTTTTTAAATGATCCTTAAGCGTTGCAATAACCCTTCTGTGTTTCATTAAAGCTAAACGGTTTCTTTTAATTAAATAACGAGGACGCAACAACAAATTTACTACTCATGATCAGACTTAAGTCGCACTTGCCGGAAAACGGCCAGTTTGAAAATATAAGCGTAAATGTCGTACAGCTCTGACAAGGTTACAGCTGCGAGTCAAATAAAGCCAAGTTCACAAACATCTGGCCACATGCGACGGAAGGCCCCGGAAAACTCCTCTCTGGGCCGCTGTCCGATCGCTGGACTGTGCAGTGTGTAGTGTCTCACGGACTGACTGCATCACCCGCCATGAACGGCGGTGTGTCATGTCATTGTGATTTCACGAGCATGTCTGTGGAAGTGTGGAGTGTGGAGTGTGAATGTAGACTGTGGCTGTGCAAAATACGCAAATATGGACGCAAACTATTATTGACACGCAGCAGCAACGCATGTCGCACACTCCTTGTTCCTGCAGTAACTTTCCAAGATCCAAGTCCAAGACTGTGTACTTATTGAATGACTAAGTTTTATGATATTCCGGCATTTTGGTAAGGTCACAGTTTGTATTGCGCTTGTGTCGAGATAATAAAATATGTATTTTCTTTCAATTAGCCCATTACCAAAAACGTTAAACACTTTTACCATTATTAACCCTCGCCCATGTAGGGGGGGGGTTGGTGCAACCCCCCCCCCCCCTGAGGCTTTTCGGAAATAGTGCAAAAACGGCGGCGCGCAGCGCCGCCAAATTTTGGGTACCTTATGGGGCAAACCTTGCGCATCTTTTGCTAAAAAAATTTGACCGGGTCATGTCAGGTCACGGAGTTATGACGTCACAAAGGGAACAGCCTCCGGCCGGATTTTCACAAACTGAGTGCCAACGCCCAAGGTTTCCTGCCGGTGGTACGGACATCGGTTGATGGATCGTGATGAAACTTCCCATGCATGTTGGGGCAAGTATTGGCTATCATATGGTATACGAAACTTGACCGGGTCAGGTCAGGTCACGGAGCTATGACGTCACAAGAGGAACAGCGTCCGGTACTATTTTTGAAAAGCGCCCGAACCACTATTTTGCTAATTCTTGTCACCTCAATGGGAATATGCAGCAATATTAGTTTCTATAGGGAGCAAATGGACCTCCCAAATCCAAAAATACAATCAGATTTCAAAAATTTAAATTTTGATTTTTCGAATTTCTGCCGCCGACTGTGACCTTGCCGACTTCCGGCGCTCCCAACGCGCCATTTTTAGAGCTAGGGAAACGAAATACATACCAAACGATAGAGAATTGATCAAGGAACACGATAGTGAAGGTTTCAAGTCGATATCTCCCACCGTTTTGCCGCAATCGCCGCCGAAAGTTGAAAAAAGTCTATTTTTCCGAAAATTTGACCTTTGACCGGTCAAAAGTAGGTCAAATATTGACCTAGGACCAAAAAATATACCACCAATCGCGAGATCTCGGCGAGAGCAATCCGTTGGTCTTTTCCGCTAAGCTCTACGACGCTCCGTTTTCAAACGCCAAGGGGGGGGTCGCACCAACCCCCCCCCCCCTGCATGGGCGAAGGTGGCAGATCGCCGTTTACGGGCGAGGGTTAAAAAGTAAAAATGAAAATTAATGTCAACCTACCTATTGATTGACAAAATATGAATGTAGGTTGGATGTATAAAAAGCTCTTTCAGTTACTCTTGGGTAAATGAAATGAAATGACACGCCCATGTATGACCTGCCCAGACCGCCCAGTTACAGCCAAAGGCCGGTCGTATGTGGAGCCACTCCTTCCACCCCAATCGTCCGGACTAAGGGCGGTCTTGATGGATGTCCTTAGCGTTCCCGATCTGCCTGAAGGATTCACTGCCGCCGACCCACTTTAGCCGCCGGCCGAATTCCTCCGATGACCCATAGAAGCAGCCAATGCGCCGCGAGAACTCGACGAGGATTACTCGATTTCCGGGTGATTGCTTCTTATCAGCGGTGTTGAGTGTAGTTATTATATCAGCGGTGTTACGATGAATACGGGTACGATCGTACCGCTGCGTACCATTATACGCCGCGAGGCGCTGCGTAGCGTTTACTGACACGAGGAATGCGAGGAAGGTCGATTGTATGCCGCCGCGAGGTCTTCGGCGCCCGATGAAAGCGGCCGGGGCCCGCCGCGAATACGGAAGTGTCGGCCCTGATGTATGGAGGTGGCTGAGTGAGCGGGTCATTACCACGGAGTACAGCTCTGCTCGGGGAGAGCGTAAACCCTCTGTGAGCCACAACGGCGTATTTCGGACGATGACATCAACTTGCTTTTCACTTAAAACCTTATTGCTCTCGAAACTTGTTCATTTATTTATGGCACTACCTAATCCTTCAAAACAACGCATAAAAGAACTAGAAAAAATATTTTTTGAGTTTATTTGGGGACGAAAGAATGATAAAGTAAAGCGTACAAAAATAATACAAAGTTATTCCAAGGATGGACTAAACATGATTGAGTTACAATCATTCATTAAAAGTATGAAATTAACATGGTTAAAGCGCATGTGGATCTCCAGTGCAGATTGGACTACTATTGCTAGAACAGAACTCCCAGATATACAAAACATGTTAACATATGGTTATAAGAAGTTAGAACTATGTAAAAGAAATACAACAAATCTATTTTATTTGAACCTTATAGATGCATGGGTTCAGTTTAATCAAGAATATTATCCATCAATAGAGGAACTTGCTTCGGAAAACATTTGGTTCTCAAATTAGACAAAGTACGGAACAACTATTATAAAGAAATGGAATGATAAAGGCCTGAGGTTTATAGGAGATCTATATAACCTACGTACTGGATTAATTCTTTCAAGACAAGATGTTGAAAGAACCTACGGCATACGTATGAACTTTTTATGTTACGCATCCCTTGTTCGAAGCTTACCAAAAGAAATTCGAAAAGAAATAGACAAATCGTTGATAATAAAACCAAACATCCCATACAAAATTAACCAGGTATTGAATACCAGCAATTTTCCCCAATTAGCATATCGAGCATTTGTTGGAAGTATGCGGAATTCTAACAAAGAGTCCAATCTACGTCTTAAAGCAAAGTGGACTACAGATATTGGCGAGTTCGTTGAAGGCACAGTGGAACAAATATCGAAGGCAACATCATATACATATTTTATATTTCTTCATTATAGAATAATAAGCAGAATATACGCCACAAATAAGTTTCTGCACAATATAAACTATGTAAACAATAATGCATGCTCCTTCTGTAGTGAAACATCGGAAACTATCCTTCATTTATTTTGGCAGTGTCCCAAGACTCAAATATTAATTAAAGAAGTATTATCCCACCTGAAACAGGAATACGGAATAGATATAATCGTGAACAAAGTAAGCTGGTTTTTTCTTAAAGACTTATCAAAAATAGCCATGCTTTTATTCACGCTTATTAAAGATCACATTCACAAATCACGTCTCAGGTCTTCTATGCCATCAACGATGGTCGTGTTGCAAATGATAAAGATTGAACTGCAAAAAGAACAACACATTGCAAAAACAAGCGACAAACTCGATCTCTTCCACCAGAAGTGGGGCAATCTTACAAGATTGTTAGCGTCCGCTCCGCCCCCGGGTGGGCGACTCGGAAACGTGTCAATTCACCAAATATAATTAAAAAAAAAACACACACACACACACCTACACCCCCCCCCACACACACACATACACACACACACACCACACACACACGCACACGCACACCCACACGCACACACACATGCACAAGCACCTAAACTGATACAAACACATTGCACAAGCACACCGACACATGCATGTACGCACACAGTCACAAACACAACTCAGTACAAACAGAAATGCCTACACATACATAAATGCAATCATTCCGTTTCTTTAACAGTGTAGTTTATGTTGTCTGTTTAATTACTTGTTTGTTTGGTTGCTCTTTGCTCACCTAGGTTACTGTTTGTTGTGTTTGAACGGAAGATTGTTGAACGTTACTGTGTTTAAACGCCGGCCTGTGGCGGAGCCCTGAGTTTTGCCGAGCATTGGGCCCCCGCCCCTATGACCCATCCGGGCCAACCTGGGTACCGGTCCCAATTGAAAGGGACCGGTCGGCCGCCCGGGCGGGCGGGGCGCCGGCCTGTCGAGTGTCGGGTCGGGTCGGCGCTCCCCTCGCCCGGGCGGTGGTTAGGGGGCACC